TACAAACATTTCAAGAAACGCAAGAAACGTAAAACCATATGCAGCGCGATTAAACATTATTGTCCGTGACCAAGCGTTTTTCTCGTTTTCATTTTGCAAACCCCCATAAGGCCCAAAATCAACCCACGTGGTCCCGTATAGTGTTTCATTTAACTAGACACATAAAACTAGATTTTTTAGTATTGGTCTTACGCACGCTTACGCATATAGAGGGTATGCGCATGACGTCACCGTCGGCCGGAGTGAATGCGGTCACGCCCATAAGTGGCAAAAAGACTGAGCGGCAGCATTTGTTTTCAGCGTGAATGCCGTGAAAATCACACAAAACACATCTAAAACGGGAAAGAGCTTTGCGATTGACTGTACAACTAGATTTGACCAGAAATCTGAGGTACTGTATATTTTTACAGACTGCAAAAAGCTACAGAACAGACTATATTCTGCATAATTGGATGTTTTATAAATAAACACTGACAAAAAACTATACAAGTTTTAGGGCTGGACGATATGATGATATACAGTATAACATTAATGTAAGTGATCACTCGGATTTAGACCTATCTATATTGTATTTATATAAAACGTTTACAGGCAAATTTTCTTCATTTATTTCCCCGGCGTCGAAATCAGGCACATATAAATGTCAGGAAACACGATTCCTGGCTGCATGTCAATATCCATGGATCACTGGATCTTTGATAAGTTGTAAGGAACACTATATCGAGTCCAACTTTTAGTTTAAACTGATAATAGTTTGTTTTACTCGCGTTAACGCAGTTTCCCCTATTAACTCCAGTCACGCAGCAGCTCTTCTGCCACTCAGTCCCGCTGAGGGGGGCGTGTTCCGGCGGGGAAGTGACGTTAATGCATTCCCAGTTTTATACGGTTTTATACGTATCTTCTAGTCTGGACGTAAACTAATGTTATATGCTCAAGTGCGCCACATGCGGTTTTCTGAAGTAATACAGACAGCGGCTGAAGACATTTCAATCACGAATCACGATTTCTCACTTTTTCATTACACAATAACGAAAACAGGTGGGAAATGAATGGTTGTTTATGGCAAAAAAGAAAAGAAAAAGCCCCCTAAAATTCAAGATAGGCCTACGGCAAAAATGTCAGTCTGTTTGTAGTCTTATTATGATCAAGTCCTCAAGGGTGAGATTAATAATATAGGCTAAATTAAGCAATAGGCCTATCACACGTGACGTGAGCAAGAATATTTTCACTAAAATATTCTTGCTCACGTCACGTATTGCTTAATTTAGCCTTTATTATTAATCTCAATTTTGCTAGCAAAATAGTTTTTCGTGACCAGCACGATATGTGACATTGAATATACACAAAAGTTCAATAAACTAGATGTGAGTATTGACTTACCTTTTAGACAGATATTGTCCGTTTTTTCTCTATTTCGCCGACGAAAATAGTTCCACGCAAATTCACCGCAGAGTCTTTGCGCGTGTCTGAGGAACACAGAGCTGTTTCGCTCTGGAATAAACATAAATCGGGGCTTTGAATGTTTTAGTAGGTGCTTCTCAAACGGAAGCTGTCTTGTTTAGGCTTTAAGGCGGGCCTTATTACGCCCCTTCTTTGAACCCGAACCATGAAAATGCCATTCCTGAACTTTCGTGAAACGGTTGGTGTTTTTGCACAGTTGTGGGGTAATTAAAATGAATAAAACACTCTGAGCTTTAATTTGGAAGATTCAGAATCTGTGAGCAATGTTGGAATGAAAATGTTTTTTTGTTGTTGCTGAAAATAATGTATTAGCCTATTTAAATAATAATAAATGTGCCAGAGACACACAGAAATACAGTGGACCACAGCCAAAAGTCCAAAGAAATTCTATTTCAAATTTAGAAAAATATAACAAAAAATGAGGTTCCTGCAAGATTCCCCTAGAGACATTTCCAAAAACTGCCATGGAGTTCCAAAACACCACTTTGTAACATACATGTTGTAATGAGTAGGCCACAGCTGTTATATGAAGAGTACTGATTGACCCCAGCAAATAGCTGTAGCCTACTCATTACACATATCTGAGAGCTATAAAGCTATTCATTTACATGTACCTCATATAATTCAACATTCTTTTGTCAATTTTTAAAATAACCACACTATTGCATGGCGTTAAATGTTTTTTTTTTAATTCTAAATACATTTTAACAAGATTTAATCCGGATGTGACCCTGGAGGTCGTAGAAAGGAGACTCGGGGTCTGCGGTGGCATCCTCACAAGACCTGCACAGAGCATACAACGAACATGAAGCACTAACGAAAAACTGTTCTCAAGGCTGAGCCTGAGCTCAGTATTATCAGCACAGTCAACCAAAACAGGCTGATAAAGCATTCACTCCTCAGGAAGAGCTGCAGATAATATACAGCTTGCTCCCTAGAGAGGTACAATTCTGTAAATCAGGAGAAGTCAAGTTGGACCAGACAACACATGTTGAGGGTCACATCAGAATGTACCTAAAAGCAGCTGGTTAACACTCACAGCAAACATAATAAAAAAATATATTTGAATCACTCATTGAATAAATGATTATGACCATCCTTGATTAGTAATTTGTATAGGAATAATTTAAGCACTAAGGATATATAGATATATATTGAAGAGACAAGGGATTCTGACCCCCAACTCTTTATAGAATTGCATGTCTTCTCACTGGAACGTGCTCTCTCATTGTTTTTGAGAAGAGCACCCAACACATGTAAAAAAAAACATATCTAGCAGACCATCACTCAGGCCTGTCTGTCTCCTATGAGCAATTCACAGTCAAAGCATTTACTTTATCATCTTCAATAGAGAATTATGACAAATATTGTCAACCTCTTACTGAGAGAACATACATCTTATCAGTATGTTTTGGGAAAGTTCAGTGATCTAGATCTCCAAGAAGCAGTGTATCTGGGTGTGTGTGTGGGTGTGTGTCAGTTTCCTTTGTTACAGGTTCTGACTTTCGTGAGGTGAGCAAACTGGCACCCAGGGGAGATGAAATGACCATCTTACAGACAAACCGGAGCCTAGAAACACTTATTTGTGACCTTGGTGAGACAGGAATCACTTCCTGAACCAGGATCCTTGTTGTCATCCAGATAATTTATGGAGATGTGCTTCTAACCATCTGTCCATATGTGGAGATTTTATCTGTCAGTGGTGATCTCAGCAAAAATATCACTCACAAATTAATATTTTTTGGTCGCAAATACATCCATTTTAGGTGCAGTCTGGAGGGTCCTCCATATGTATGTATATATATATATATATGTATGTATGTATATATATATATATATATATATATATATATATATATATATATATATATATATATATATATATATATATATATATATATATATATATATATATATAGCCTATTTAAATATGACAAAATAACAAAAAAGTCCCCATAGAAGAGTGCCATACTGATAGGGAGAGGGATAGTTCACCCAAGAATGAACATTCTATCATCATTTACTTGCCCTCAAGTTATTCCAAACCTGTATTAACTTTCTTCTGCCGAACACAAGAGATACTTTGAAGAATGTCGGTAACTAATTAATGGGCTCCATTCCCTATATTGTATTGATGACATAATTGTCATTTTTGGTGAACTATCCCTTTAATTGCGATTTACAGTTTTAGTAGGTTTGCTATAGGCCTATTGCCAAATGCTAGTGCGATATTTTTTTTATCTTTGTCATTTTCTCTTTCCCCTTTCTCCGTGCCATACTGTTTATTTAATGCTAAACTATTAAGTTTATTTAATGCTAAATAAACTAATTTTTAAAAAGAAAGCCTGATTCAACTTTAATGGAAATGAAGTGAAGCAAATGCAGACAGACTACGTGAGTTGCAAATGGCAATAGGTGATTTTTTCCAGCCGATTTTCAGATGAAAGTCTAATTTACATAATCCATGAACGAGGAGGTGAGGTGTTAATGACCGCAGGGATTTAACTACCTGTTGAGATAATCCATGGTCCAAAATAAACTTCTTTTTTTGTAAGAAGATGAGTTTAAAATTTGTCAAGAAGCTGTCCTGCTCACATCTGATACAAACATTTCAAGAAACGCAAGAAACGTAAAACCTTATGGAGCGCGATTAAACATTATTGTCCGTGACCAAGCGTTTTTTTCGTTTTCATTTTGCAAACCCCCATAAGGCCCAAAAAATCAACCCAAGTGGTCCCGTATAGTGTTTCATTTAACTAGACACATAAAACTAGATTTTTTTAGAATTGGTCTTACGCATATTGTACTTATTTTTCCCAGTTTTATCTTCTAGTCTGGACGTAAACTAACGTTATAATCTTTTGTCTCCATATATATAGACATTCCTTTGATGGTCGGCCTCCCTGTGAAATATTTCACAAATAAGTCTATTTGAACCAAATTCTACAGGGGGTCATTTTTATAAATTATAAGCCTTTTATAGATTACTGTTATTTTACAGTATAGGCATGTATTAGGACTCCTGAAAGAGCGAAATAAACTGGTGAAAGTCTTCACAAATCCAATTCTATGTGAATAAATCTTCTAACATTTTCTTAGTGAAGAAGATTCATGCACAAGCATATTTGCATACTTTACAATCCAATCAAACGTATGATGTTCTCTTATAAACGTGTTCAAATTACGAAATTAAACAAAAATGTAACAAAAAGGGACTTGAAAAGGATTGAAAATATTTTAAAAGGATTTGGGGGTCATGTAAGTTAGATCCAAATATTTTTTAAATCAAGCTGATTGGTTTCCACGCAATGTGAGACAAATAACATTTGATTTGATATTATCTCCTGCAGAATGTGAACTGATGTAATATTAAGCTCGCCTGGCTTGTATAAAATCAATAATGCAACCTTTCTTTTACTGTCTATGTCTCAATAAGGTCTCAACCATAGACAGTAAAAGAAAGTTCTCAACAGAGATGGTTGGTGTAACGTCCGTGTGGCTCCGATCTCACACATGCTTCTTGTTTGTTGGTTCCGCTCTTCATTTTGTTTTTCCGGGTGCGCTCCATCTTCCAGCGTCCGACCAGGCTGTGGCAGAAACCGCATCTTCCATCTCCCCGCCGGGAAGAGCTCCAAAAATAACCAAATATTAATCGCTTCGATTCTTACATCCCTTTGTGCGTATATATGTTTTGTGTTTTCGTCAATTATTTGCCTTATAATTTAGACAGGACAGATCCCTGTATTTGAGTCGACAAAATCCTGCTTTAAGGTTTTCACTAGCTTAGCATAGCTGGATCATTTTGGGTCACGCCCAATTAATAAACTTAACAATCATTAGAGTTGTGAGGTGCAGCTGCAAATATTATTTCTGACATATCTGTTATATTATGTAACGTCTTGTTACTGTGGTTATGTTACTGTGTTGTTGACAGTTCATGTAGCAAATGGTCTACATAACTGTTCCTGATGATTTCCTGTGAAAAATGGGAATTGCAGACATGTTTCAAATTTGTATCTGTTTTCTAATTTCATGACCGTTAATGGAAATGGCCAGTTGGCAATCAAATATATTTTGAGATTATATTATTGTTGATTTTATGCATTGTTAAAAGGTTTATATGTTTAATTGATTCCCTTCTCTTCAGATCTAAGAAGCTGTCAGAATGACTGACTCCAAGTATTTTACCACCAACAAAAAAGGCAAGTACTTTTAAAATCTGCTTAAATATGTTAATTTCAGCTATGGGATGGTCATATGATTTAAAATGAAATTATTTTAAAAACCCCAAACAATTTTCTCACAGATTGATATAGAAATGTTTTTTAGATTTAAGATTGTGAAGCATGATATAGTCTAGTGGTGTAATTTTGTAGTATGCAACTATGCATGAGGACCAGATTCAAATCCTGATATAATTTTTTTTTTACTATGAACCAAGCAAAATTGCAACTGAACTCGACTGCCAGTGATTGCCCTCAATTTCCTGCATTTTATGTATAGAAAACAGCAGAACTGACTTTTTGATGAACCCCAAAATAATGATGTATATTAAATCTTTACTTAAACTATCACTGTAATAATTCCTGTGTACTTTTAAATTATGAAGCAAGAACATACATTATTAATGCCTACTTTTGCTGTTCCAGAACATTAAAAATATTAGAAGGCCTGGATCAAATCAGTCCTTCACGTATTCTGTAGTTTATAGAAACAAATGAATTTTAACCCATCAGCATTGTACACGTCAAGGCTAAACTACACTTTATCTTTGAGCATTTTGTGAATCAGAAGCTGTTCTCTGTAATCTTTTTAAATGCACCATATTTGCGCTGATTTTCCCCAAATGCTGAAGTTTAATTGATTTATAGGCTTAATACATATAAAATGCTAAAACGGTTGTGTGTTGACAATTCAATAATTTGTCAAACTTTGGACGGATTTCCCGGCACACAAAAACTCCTCGGTCAAAATTACAGTCCTTGGCTAAATTACACATTTTGGCTTCAAAAGGCGACGACTTTGGGGCACTATTTATCTTTTACCTACAATAATCATGGAACTTAATTATCAAATGTAAAAAAAAAAATATATATATTTTGGAAGTTGTATTAAAATTCCATTTGGCAAATTTGAAGAGGCTCGTGCTCCCTCGGTTTGAATGAGCACGCCGCCTCTGTGAATGTGCACTCGTTTCTGTCAAGACCTTCAGTACAAGAAGAGGACACACGCACAGTTCCTTGATCTTTCCAGTTTGGACACAGGCACTCACGGGGCGAAAAGTACGCCATACCCCATGCAATTACCTTGCGTACAAGCAGCATTGATACAGATTTGAATGTGGGATACCATATGGTAACAATGTGAAATGTATGATACCGAATGTGATCTAGAATGTTTCTAGATCATATTTTATTTGAATGTATAAGAAGTATGGGGTTTTCAGGTGATTTTAGGGGTATTAAGTAACAATGTAAAACAATTTTGATAAACAGAAAATCGCTTTGATTTGTACGTATCAAGAACAATCTAGTGATTCATTTAAATTTGTTAATTAATTTAAAAGGGAAAATGTTGGTATTTTAAAAACATTAATCAAATGTTTTTGAGTTCATTCTGACTAAATGAATATACATTTTCAACTAGTATGTAGTAAGGTAATAGTGCCATTTTAAAGGTTCCTATTTTGTTCTCCTAAAATAGGATTACATGCATCCAAGGTCAAAAAACACGTTTCGTTTTCTCATAATGTACATTGCAGCATCACTTATTTTCTCACAGTGTCTGAAATGGTTGGATCAAGGATTCGGTCACTCTGAAGCCCTTCTTTTTGAAAGCCTACTCTGCTCTGATTGGTCAGATGGCCCAGTCTGTTGTGATTGGTCTACCTCCTACATCGTGTGTCATAAATAAAACGTTCATTATCATATCTGAATTTCTGCTTCGTAGGCTTCCTCAGCACAATGATACGAACAGTAACAATGGCATCGGTTTTACCATATCAATTCGTGCCCAAGTCCTCATCATGGAAGTGCATGCAAAGTGGATTTGCTTTTCGTAGCACCGAAAACAGCCTCTTCTTGACATGTAGACAAAACACTAGTGTTTAAGGGGTCAAAGTAGATGTTGTTTGCGGGCAGTCAATGAAGACCATAGACTGGCATTATGCAAATTTGTTCCAAACCTACGTAGGTTCGAATTACTATCGAGTCAGTTCAGAATCAGGTCTTTTATTTAGGAGACAAGAACTCGTGCACTTTGATATTTAAAATGTTACAGACCTTTTAGATTCACAAACGGCTATATAACACACTACATGAAAGGTTATACGGGGGGAAAAAAAGCATAATCTGGGAACTTTAATGCTTCTGTTGTGTTCTATAGAGGTTGTATCAGTATCAGCCTTTGAAAACCTCAGATAAGATGAACACTAATCATGTTTCTCTCTGTTTCAGGTGAAATCTTTGAGCTGAAGGCTGAGCTAAACAATGAGAAGAAGGAGAAGAGGAAAGAGGCAGTGAAAAAAGTCATTGCAGCCATGACAGTGGGCAAGGATGTCAGGTGCTTCGGCTCATTTATCACCATCGCACAATCAAAGATGGACTCTCACTTCCCACATTATGAATTAAGCTAATATCTTTTCACTGCTTCTTTAGTTCCTTGTTTCCAGATGTGGTAAACTGCATGCAGACCGATAACCTGGAGCTGAAGAAACTGGTTTACCTGTACCTTATGAACTATGCCAAGAGTCAACCTGACATGGCCATCATGGCCGTTAACAGCTTTGTAAAGGTACGACTTTTGGATCGATCTGATCAGATATCAGTGTTTATGAAATTCCACCAGATTGTCTGAAGTCGCTCTCTCTCTTTTTAGGACTGCGAGGATCCAAACCCACTGATCCGAGCTCTGGCTGTGCGTACAATGGGCTGTATTCGTGTGGATAAGATCACTGAGTACTTGTGCGAGCCTCTGCGAAAGTGTCTGAAGGATGAAGACCCCTATGTGAGGAAGACCGCCGCAGTGTGTGTGGCCAAACTTCATGACATCAACGCCCAGATGGTGGAGGACCAGGGCTTCCTGGATTCTCTCAGGGACCTGATCGCTGACTCCAACCCCATGGTTAGACACTTTTGATCTAATTTCAGAGAATGCATGTAGGGGTGTGCGATATTGACAAGGAATTATATCTCAATATTTTCTTGGATTTAATCGATAATGATAATTAGACGATATTTTGCTTCGTGTGTTATTGTGTCGGTACCTTTGGCAGGTTTAGGACTGCCGTGAACAGCTGATATTCTTCATATTCTCTGTGGTGGTCAGTTCACAGCAGTGACAGAAATGATCTTTTCCAATAAGTTTAAATAGATTTTTTACTTTTATAAAGCCATTTTTAACCTATTTAAAAATGTATGCATCATTGTTTGTGTCAAATTCTTATATTTAATCAATAAATTCAGTTAGAATAATAAGACACAGTAGGGCTGCTACCAATTAAATGAAATCACTATCAACAAAATTCATCTTTACACTGCAGAGGAAACACAAAAGCTGCCTATGAAGTAGGGTTGCCAACTTAAGAAAAGGAAAATACGGGACAATCGTGGTTCTTAATAGGAAAATAAGGGACACCCAAAATATTTGTGCTGTATCACAGTGTTTGTCATTTCAATGTCTGCAGTTAAGTATGTGTATTAAAGGTTCTCAGACATAAACACATTTGTTTTGTCACATAAACACAACCTATTTATGTACAATTTAATTCTAAAATGAATTTTAATGTCATACAAAAAAATGTCACATTACACACAAACCATCGTTCAAAATAAAAGCATTTATCTAAAATAGAAAACTTTTGTAACATTATACACTACAGTTCAAAAGTTTGGGGTCAGTAAGAATATTCCCCCCCAAAAATAAAAAATTAAAGAGAGTAATAGCCTACATTTATTCAGCAAAGATGCATTAAGTTAATCAAAAACATTTTTAATGTTACAAAAGCTTTCTATTTCAGATAAATCTCCTTTGAAATTTCTATTCATCAAAGAATCCTGACTTTTTTTTTTTTCAAACATTAATAATAATAATCAGAAATGTTTCTTGAGCAGCAAATCACATCAGCATATTATTCCCTCAGGTAGATTTCATGTTTTCTTGCGTTGCTGGATGTTGGACTCATAAACAATAATCATGTTGTTTGAATTCGCCAAAACTGATTTGCCGAAGCCAAAACCCGGACAGTGAAAGGGATTTGCCGTTAGCGCGAGTCCGGATCGAACTGGGAGCGACCAGGCAGCAGAGGATTCTGTTTACAAATCAAACAAAGATTCTCAATTTAGAGTTTGTTATGCGTATGGTCTGATGCGCATGAGGGTGGGCTGTGATTGGATGATGACTGGTGTCGTGATCATTCTCTAGTGTCGTGTTGCTGTTGTATCAGTCAGTGGTTAGATCAGCGTAGCAGTTAATAAACAGGACAAGGGAGGTCACGTACGGGACAAATAAATTAGGCCCAATATACGGGACGTTCCGGCTAATACGGGACAGTTGGCAACCCTACTCTGAAGTGACATATAGATGTATTTACACAGACTGTTTAATGCATCTCAGAGGGACATGGATGCATTTAAACTGCAGTAAATTCATAAATGTTTTAAAATAGTTGAATATTGATAATTTGACACTTTAAAGGTGAAATTAAAACTGCCAGTAGTGACAGAATTTTCATTTTTAAGTGAACTATTCAAGGTTCTTTATTCCTTCTTGTTTATTGTTCTTGTTAATTGTTTGTTGTATAAAATCAAAATACTATTTGTAATCATGCTGATATTTGGAGGGGGAAAAACAGCACTCTCCGTGTGATATTAATTAACTATATTAAATTATATAAATATATAAGACATACAGAGGTATTTTTGCCACCTTATCTTGAATATTGGGTGCATTTAAATGCACTATAGATTAAATCATGCAGTGAAAGCGTGCACTCTAAATGTGCAAGCGCACTTAATCTTACCTACTGCACTACATCCCGTAGTGTATGCGTGAACTCTTTAGGTGTGTTTTTGTCAAATGAGGAACATACTCGATAATGTCAGATTGCACATTGTTAAAACAACAATCACGATATTTTATTAGACAATATACAGGTCCTTCTCAAAAAATTAGCATATTGTGATAAAGTTAACTATTTTCCATAATGTAATGATAAAAATTAAACTTTCATATATTTTAGATTAATTGCACACCAACTGAAATATTTCAGGTCTTTTATTGTTTTAATACTGATGATTTTGGCATACAGCTTATGAAAACCCCAAATACCTGTCTGAAAAAATTTGCATATTTCATCCGACCAATAAAAGAAGTGTTTTTAATACAAAAAAAAAGTCAACCTTCAAATAATTATGTTCAGTTATGCACTCAATAGTCAATACTTGGTCGGGAATCCTTTTGCAGAAATGACTGCTTCAATGCGGCGTGGCATGGAGGCAATCAGCCTGTGGCACTGCTGAGGTGTTATGGAGGCCCAGGATGCTTCGATAGCGGCCTTAAGCTCATCCAGAGTGTTGGGTCTTGCGTCTCAACTTTCTCTTCACAATATCCCACAGATTCTCTATGGGGTTCAGGTCAGGAGAGTTGGCAGGCCAATTGAGCACAGTAATACCATGGTCAGTAAACCATTTACCAGTAGTTTTGGCACTGTGAGCAGGTGCCAGGTCGTGCTGAAAAATGAAATCTTCATCTCCATAAAGCTTTTCAGCAGATGGAAGCATGAAGTGCTCCAAAATCTCCTGATAGCTAGCTGCATTGACCCTGCCCTTGATAAAACACAGGGGACCAACACCAGCAGCTGACATGGCACCCCAGACCATCACTGACTGTGGGTACTTGACACTGGACTTCAGGCATTTTGGCATTTCCTTCTCCCCAGTCTTCCTCCAGACTCTGGCACCTTGATTTCCGAATGACATGCAAAACTGAGCAACAGTCCAGTGCTGCTTCTCTGTAGCCCAGGTCAGGCGCTTCTGCCGCTGTTTCTGGTTCAAAAGTGGCTTGACCCGGGGAATGCGGCACCTGTAGCCCATTTTCCTGCACACGCCTGTGCACGGTGGCTCTGGATGTTTCTACTCCAGACTCAGTCCACTGCTTCCGCCGGTCCCCCAAGGTCTGGAATCGGTCCTTCTCCACAATCTTCCTCAGGGTCCGGTCACCTCTTCTCGTTGTGCAGCGTTTTTTGCCCCACTTTTTCCTTCCCACAGACTTCCCACTGAGGTGCCTTGATACCGCACTCTGGGAACAGCCTATTTGTTCAGAAATTTCTTTCTGTCTTACCCTCTTGCTTGAGGGTGTCAATGATGGCCTTCTGGACAGCAGTCAGGTTGGCAGTCTTACCCATGATTGCGGTTTTGAGTAATGAAACAGGCTGGGAGTTTTTAAAAGCCTCAGGAATCTTTTGCAGGTGTTTAGAATTAATTAGCTGATTCAGATGATTAGGTTAATAGCTCGTTTAGAGACCCTTTTCATGACATGCTAATTTTTTGAGACAGGAATTTTGGGTTTTCATGAGCTATATGCCAAAATCATCAGTATTAAAACAATAAAAGACCTGAAATATTTCAGTTGGTGTGCAATGAATCTAAAATATATGAAAGTTAAATTTTTATCATTACATTATGGAAAATAATGAACTTTATCACAATATGCTAATTTTTTTAGAAGGACCTGTACATTGCATACCTCCACATTCACAGTACTTTACTAATATCTGAATTTCTCGTAGGTTGTGGCAAATGCAGTGGCTGCTCTGTCTGAGATCAGTGAGTCTCACCCCAACAGCAACCTCCTGGACCTGAATCCCCAGAACATCAATAAGCTCCTGACGGCCCTCAACGAGTGCACCGAGTGGGGCCAGATCTTCATCCTGGACTGCCTCTCCAACTACAACCCCAAAGACGAGCGTGAGGCCCAGAGGTGAGGGAATAATGATCCTCATAGGTTTCTTTATCTCGACAGGTGTACGAGATTAAGGAGAGTGAATTAAGTTTCCCAAAAAATTCAGATTTGTTTGTTTTGCTTGTTTGTATGGCTGCAAAATTTGGCCAAAATGGTCTGGTTATATAGCCAGTCAGTTTGACTATAAGATAATAATTATAATAATAATATTTGTTATTACTAAAATAAAAACAAAATACAAAATTACTATTGTAGTACTTCACTGTAAAATGAAAAATTTATATTTAAGAAAAATATAATAATAATTATGGGTGGGCGATATACCGGTAGACACGATTAACCGGTTCGTATCTAACTATCGTCTCTATCCCGGTTACCCTCATGTGACGTTGCTGTGCTGCGCGGCCACGAAAGCTCAATGTTTGCATGTGTTTTTTAAATACTGATTTTAAACCGTTGAAGCGCAATTAGCAGTGAAAATCAACTCATTTCAGTATATGCACGTGCGACATGAAGCCGCTGCTCATACAGCGCGTGAGAACCGAACTGAGTGCTTTTTGCCGCCTATTTGGGCTTGAACGGTTAAATGCACATTCCTATGTGTCAAAGTGACCATGTATTTGCAGGTAAACAGTCATTTATGTCTTAAGTGAACGTAAACAGTTGAATAAATTATAAAAAAAACACCAGAACTATGATAACATTATTATTTATTTTTAGTTTGAGAATAGAACAGCAATAAAATTCATCAGTACTGCTTTAGAGTTTCATTTCCTCAATTTTTAGATGATATGTGGCGTTTTATTCACATGGTATTCATTTTCCTTTTGAGACTGGTATTAAGAGATAAACAGAGTTGTTGGTGGATAAACCTCTGAGAGGAAATAGAGACTTGCCTTTTCTATTTAGGTCTAACACTTCTTTGATTCCATTCATAGAATTCATATGTAATTTAAATAGCAGCATGCATAATAGTGCAATACAAGCCATACAAAGTTCTTATGAAATATGAATTGCTGCATAGATTAAATAGGAATATTAAAAAGGAGAAATTCAAATCAAGGTCTTTCCAGATTTGTTTTTTTAATGCAGAGTTTGATTTAGGGGCCGTTTACACGACACCGTTGTCAACTAGAAATGGAAAATCTTTTAAATGTTTTGGCCGTTCATATACACAACACAGTTTTGGGAGCCTGAAACGCAAACTTTTGAAAACTGGTTTCAGAATGCACGTTTTTGAAAATGATACTGTTATCATCTCCATGTAAACTACAAAAAAATGTGAAAAAACAGTGACATCATGCGCATGTGTATTTTCTTGTTCACTCTATAGGCACGTAGTGTTTCGTGACATCGCCAACTACTGGCCTAGAATGCATAATACAGCGGTTTTTGTCGTTTTGGGGAATCCGTGTGAACGGGTATCGTTTTGACAGCATTGTCGTCTGTACGCGAAAAACGCAAAAGAAAAACCTTTCCGTTTTTAGTAGTCAGTACGGCTGAAATAGCTTTGTGAAATGTGCAATTGTTCTATTACCAGTGGAGGAATAAAATATACTATGTGATTTCTGATCATATCAAATGAAAGTAACATTAAGACTGAATAAAGAAGGACTCAGGACAGAACCTTGATGGACTCAACACTTGATATTACTTTTTGCTGTGTGTTAATGCCCACTAAGAAAAACATACTAATGTTACATGGAAGACTTAAATTGTTAATGACAAATTTTATAATCAACCTATTCCAAATACAAAATTGAAAAAAGAGGATTAATACAGATGAAAACACTCTTAAGCATAACTCCCTCTTCCTGTCTCTTTTAGTATCTGTGAGCGTGTGACTCCACGTCTCTCTCATGCTAACTCGGCTGTGGTGCTGTCGGCGGTGAAGGTGCTGATGAAGTTTCTGGAGCTCCTGCCCAAAGACTCGGATTACTACAACACTCTTCTGAAGAAGCTCTCTCCTCCCCTTGTCACGCTGTTGTCTGGGGAACCAGAGGTCCAATATGTGGCCCTCAGGAACATTAACCTTATTGTGCAGAAACGGTTAGACTGCTGTCCTTATTTTTCAGTCCTTTTTGTTTTCTGTGGAACTAGTTTAAGCGTTTTTAATGTGCTAATCACTCAGCCTCTGCCGTAGATGACTGAATGCAGTCACTAGATGGCAGTGTTGTCCATTTGTCTGTTTGCTTGGTAATTCTGAATGTTTTGACTGAGAATAAGACGGTGATCTCTCTACCTGCAGGCCTGAGATCTTGAAGCAGGAGATCAAAGTGTTCTTCGTCAAGTACAATGACCCCATCTACGTCAAGCTGGAGAAACTGGACATTATGATCCGCCTGGCCTCTCATGCCAACATTGCCCAGGTATTTCAAAAGATGTTTAACTCTTAGCTTTTCAAGTCATTATGTCTTACTTGCATGATGTTTCTGAGAACAGGATATTCAACAAGAAAACAGTGTAGCACATCAATATTATCCGTCAGTGCTTCTCATTAGTAGCCAGAGGCAGTCAGTTTATCCAGTGCTTTAAAGGTTCATATAATATAGATTATTCTGCAACTCTAATTAAAGCTGAATTAATTGCATCTTTATTTTCACTGTCGCATATGTAAATGTAGAGATCACATTCTCTTTCATAGATCTATACAATCCTAAATTTCCTGAATTCCTGTGATGATAGCAAAAAAAAATGTAGCTAGGACATTTCTAGCATTCCCCTGAGATTTAGATTTTAGAAACAGGAAAATGTATCAGCACTTTTCTTCAAATAAAAAAAAAATTACATGTTCAGCTGAATGTTATATAACACTAGTATTAATTGATGTGCAAATGGGCTGCAATTTGATTTAGTCCTTTATGTACGAGAATGAAAGACCTAAATATGTACTCTTTTTATTTTGGCCTTTACTTTCTTAATTGATTGTGCACAGTTTGTGTTGCAAAGATAACACATTATAACACATCGTCGATTTGTCCCTCTAATTACATATTGCTTAGAAGTGTGCTTAAAAGGAACATGGTCTCTTACACTTTCTATTTGGTTACTGTTTGTCACTGTGTTTATCTAAAACCCATACTTAAGGCAATTGAGCTGCCTGGGATAAAATGACAGCTTTGATTACACTGCATCTGACAACAAATTGCTTCGTTGCATTGCGTTATAATACATTCCATGTCATTTAGCATTTTCCCCCCGTAAATATCTCTGTTTGTAAGACGCTAATATTAGACTCTTCTCACACTTTTCCCCCTGAGTTTATTACCTTGTGAGTTACCGATTTCCCGTTCTTTCACTTGTGGAGGTCATTCAGCCTTTCACAGTCTGTTTCTATAGAAATCCACTAAAAATGATGTTGATTTCTGTAGGTACTGGCTGAACTGAAGGAGTATGCCACTGAGGTGGATGTAGATTTTGTTCGGAAAGCCGTTCGAGCCATCGGCCGTTGTGCCATCAAAGTGGAGGTAAGTCTTGCCTCATTATTCATCCCTAAGTACCTACATTTTGTACGTCTTTATTCTTTAGTCTATAGAAATGTCTGATAAATCTCTGCTATTTAGCTTGTTTTTTGATTACTTAATATCAAGCATAAGAAACCTTTATTGATTTTTTTCGTTGTATATTGCGTTGAAAGAGCTGTAGTGCCTTGATGAGTTTTCTCTTATATCTGTGTGTACAGCAATCAGCCGAGCGTTGTGTTAGCACCCTTCTGGACCTCATCCAGACCAAAGTCAATTATGTTGTGCAAGAGGCCATTGTGGTCATCAGGGACATCTTCCGCAAATACCCCAACAAGTCAGTTCATAACTCTCATCTGAGCTATTTTTATTGATACTTTTCAGTACTGAATGAAATCACAGTTTTTCTTGTCCCCTCCACTACTTTGATTAGATTTTTTCCATGAGCTTGTCACAGTGCATTCTGGGATTGTCTTATCTGTAAAGACTACATGCCTTAGAATTAGACTAAAATGAGGTATCTCAGCCCAGGTGTGATCATTAAAATGCTGTGTACACAACTCACTGGGTTTTGTAACAGAGAATATCAGTTTGTCTAAAAAAAAAATAGGTCCATGTAGAATGAAAGAGCATGTAATTTAATTGCCTGCTGATTCAGCTCTCTGTAATATGCACAGATATGAAAGCATAATTGCCACTCTGTGTGAAAACCTGGACTCTCTGGATGAGCCCGACGCTCGAGCAGCCATGATCTGGATTGTGGGCGAATATGCAGAGCGTATCGACAATGCTGATGAGCTCCTGGAGAGTTTCCTTGAGGGCTTCCATGATGAAAGCACTCAGGTTTGACATTGTTATTGTTTTAGATTGGGTGTATTCCAGAAAGCAGGTTATGTGACATAACCGGGTTTACTCCGAGTAAGCGTATAACCAACTTTCGGCTCCAAAACCTGAGGTAACTTAAAGGGTAAGTAGCCATAACAACTTACTCTCTGAATATTACCTGCTCTGGAGGGTGTGTGACAGATGACCAGTGGGTGTGACCGATTGCACAAAATATTATGTTATATAGTATATACAGTATATTAGAGCTGCACGATTAATCATTAAAAGATCTCGGTTTAAACAACCAGGGGTCAGCAGAGTGTGAACACTGAACAGCGCGTATTTTGTCGCTGCCCATGTTAATGAATGAGAGGGTCGGCCGTCACGCTTCCATTCTGATGTGAATCGCTCTCATTCATTGATATGGGCAGCAACATAACACGTGCTCCTCATGCTCCGTTGATGCTTGCGATGTGAAACGTACTCCGGTTTGGCTGAACTCATGTAAGCAAGTTTTGGGTTAATCAACCGAGATTTCAGAGTATATGTGACGGTAAGTTAGCCTGGCTTTCTGGAATACCTCCCAGGTTTTTGTTGTTGTTATAGTAAATGGTGTCTTTAAAAGAAGGGACTTATTAAGGTATCCACTGCATTGTTGCTTTCAGGTTCAGTTGACTCTCCTGACAGCCATAGTGAAGCTGTTCCTGAAGAAGCCTTCAGAGACTCAAGAGCTGGTTCAGCAAGTGCTCAGTCTGGCCACTCAGGTGAGATGTGCTTGGGCATTACAAACCATAGTGTTACTCTACAATTAAGTGTGCTTCAATCAGGACTTTTGGACCCGATCACTGGAAGCGGTATTGAGCGATATGATCACTGATACAGATCAACGAAATTAATAACATTATTTTTAACAACAATGTATTTTAAGTATAAAACAATTAAGAGGTGAAAAGGTATCTTGAATTAAAAACTCTTTATTTATTGGCAAGCGACATGTGCAACATATTCCATTTCCTCTCTTAGAGTTGGTTAGAGATGAACAAATACAGCATTCCTGTGAAATAATTAATACAAATGAAAACAGAACACAAAGTGATCTAATGTAAAACAACACTGCATAGTTTTGACTGTATAAATTAAATCTAGATTAATCCTAGTAAATCTACTAAAGAGTAATGAGTGATTTTCATCATTAATGAACAATAATGAAACAGACGGCAGCAGGAATATGATGCTGCTGTCACTTTAAGACTGAATGCATGGATTTAATATACTAATACACATGCAATTTATTTCCCAACTGTTTATTCAAACATTAGCATTACACATCATCAGAAATTTCACATCATAGTGACGCATCTCAGAAGGAGCTCAGTGTCTGGCTGTCAGTGTCACGTTTCCTTTCCTTTCAACCTGGTCTCGTTCTCCATCTCAGGACTCTGATAACCCTGACTTGCGTGATCGTGGCTACATCTACTGGCGTCTGCTGTCCACCGACCCCGTGACCGCTAAAGAGGTTGTGCTGTCTGAGAAGCCTCTGATCTCAGAGGAGACGGACCTGATTGAGCCCACCCTGTTGGACGAGCTCATCTGCCACATCGGCTCGCTGGCCTCCGTCTACCACAAACCCCCCACTGCCTTTGTGGAAGGAAGCCACGGCATTCACCGTAAACATCTGCCCATCCAGCACGGCAGGTACTAAGACAGCTAAAACAAAATCTAGCTAAAACTCTTGAATATTTCATTGGCTGTCTAGAAATTGCTCTTTGTAAGTGTGAGGTCTGTAATGTGGTTTATAAAAATCTTTGGGCCAGATTTAATAACAGATTGCACCAGCACAAACCCTCTTTTGGCTTTAAACAACTACTGTTGTGATTTACTAAAGACATGCAGTGAAGATTTAAATACTGGAAGGCGTGGACACTTTTTTTTTTTGACCCCGAATTTATTGCATATGCACTCCTACAGAGTTTCCCTTTCAGATGCAACATTTATGGGAGGAGTATTTAAATCATGCAGTGTGATTTACTATCGTTTGAGGTAGTCAGTTTACTGGGATTTGCGCCATTATTTAACGCCTAGTCTCGCGTAGCCAGACCTTCAGAATGATGGCAGAAGGTCTAGTCTCTGTCACAGCTTTCATTGGCCAAGCGCCACCCAAGAGGCCATCTGACTTGACATGTCTTTAGTTACTTAGTTTTGTTCTGGGTCATGTTTAAAGGGATACTCCACTTTTTTTGGAAATAGGCTCATTTTACAACTCCCCCAGAGTTAAACTGTTGAGTTTTACCGTTTTTGAATCCATTCAGCCGATCTCCGGTTCTGGCGGTACCACTTTTAGCATAGCTTAGCATACATCATTGGAGTGGACAAGACCATTAGCATTTCTAAAAAAAAAATGACCAAAGAGTTTCAAGTTTTAAATAGGAAAAATATCGAAACTCTTTGGTCATTTTTTTTTTAGAAATGCTAATGGTCTTGTCCACTCCAATGATGTATGCTAAGCTATGCTAAAAGTGGTACCGCCAGAACCGGAGATCGGCTGAATGGATTCAAAAACGGTAAAACTCAACAGTTTAACTCTGGGGGAGTTGTAAAATGAGCCTATTTCCAAAAAAAGTGGAGTATCCCTTTAAGGGAATGAAAACGTAAAGTCTGTTCCTTTGATAACAGACTTTTGTACATCTAATAAATGATTAATTTAAGATTTAAGTTTACTGCAACAGTGGTGCCACGAACTTCACATGCTTTTGAAAATCCAGCGTTTTGCTGACGTCTCGCTAAAATGAAGATGACCACTTTGAAACTCCTTAAGTGTTGCCCATTTTCTGCACTTTATGGATCAGACTTTCAGCCAATGGTCTGTGGGCGTGATGTCTGAAGCTAAGACTATTTACCGCCTAAAAAAAGCATGTCTTAACCCATTTAGTGCTTGACATGGCTAGGATAGTTGCTGTTGGAGGAGGAACCGCAAAGAACTGAGAGTGCGTGGTAGAGAAGTGGAGAAAATTTTCACCACTTGTTTGTTTGTGTGTGTTCATTTATTTGGAAGGCCAGAGGAAGATGCTATCTAAACGTATCATTTGCCAAGATACTTTTTGCTGGTTTGCACTGTTCTTGGCAGATTACGTTGGTCATAATGTAAATGAGCTGCTGCGTCTGTGTTCTTTAATGTGTGCATTGTCAGTAGATCACCCACAGAACTTTCCACTCCCATCTGCGCTTTTATAGGATTGCGGTCCCTCTTTTTTTCCCCCTGTTTAGTAAATAGGGCCCTTAATCTAATAATCACAACTCAAAATCACAAAGTCATGGTAAGTCTTTGGCCAAAAGGTCTGGCATCCCTGTTATTTGTTTTTCTCTGAATCAGTCTCAGTCCAGTAATACAATGGGGGACTCATCGTAAGTAGTGCCACACAGAACCTACGTTGTCCTCTCCATCAAACAATGAAAAAAGGGCTTGTCGGTCCCATCCTTTTGTTCACTTAGTTTCACTTAGTGTTACACATCTCAGTGTGTATCATCATTCTTTTGCAGTATCGACACCGGGGAGAGTCCAGTCAGTACTGGCCAAGCTGCTTCCATCGATCAACCCCAAGTTATTCCATCTCAGGGTGACCTCTTGGGAGACCTGCTTAATCTGGACCTCGGTCCCCCCGTCAACGTCCCCCAGGTGTCTTCCATGCAGATGGGCGCTGTGGATCTCCTTGGAGGTGGTCTGGACAGTTTGGTGCGTGTTCTTGAATTAAAATTATATGGTTTGTTGGTGGTGGTTTTGATTTTATGATCTTAATGTCCACCGACCCTTAAAACAATTTACAATGATGACCATATTTTCCGTAAGAGTACCATGGTTACTCCAATTACTGTTACAACAGTAAAACTGTGCACTGCAAAAATCTGTTTATTATTCAAAAAATTTCCAGTAAATATATAAACAGCCATTAAACATTTACCAAGCCAAATTTTGTAAGATAATAAAGAGGTTTTTTTTATTTGGAGAAAATATATTTAATTACGTTTATTTTTCTTACCTCAAAGGTTGTTTTTTTTGTGTGTTTTAAGCATAAACCTCACTAAGTTTTGTAACTTATTTTATGTTAAGTTTTGTAATTTATTTATTTTAAGGATGTTTAGTTATTTTCTTTTATTGGGAAAACAAAAAAAGTAAAAATTCTGTCACCATGAAAAGAAATTAAACAATGACAGAAATGCTGTGTGATGGAGATACATATGAATTTTTTTAATGATTTTACAGTACTAACATCTGTACTGTAACTGTGGTATTTTAGCAGAAACTATGGTCACTTAATTGTGAAAAGGGAGTGCTATTTTTTTTAACAAATCAGTTGAAATGTGATGCACCGATCATGATTTTCATGGGCGATTCCAATTTCTTTACAAGCTAATTTACCGATACCGGTTGCCGATTTTTTTTTTTTTTTTTTTTTTTTTTTTTTTTTAAGCAAATGTATTTGTTGTTTATTTGCTGTATAACAGGCAAACTGGCTTTAAACAAAAAATATCCATAGCCATTTGAAATGAGGCAACAACTGAATTTAATCATGGTGCAAAGAAAGATGTTAAAGATGAAAGTTGTTTTTTATTTGAATTAGATTGCATAATTTCCAGATTTAAGGTCTGACTTTAGATTTGTGAAATTATGCTACATAAGACACACCTGCTCAAAACAAAAACAGCAGACGGACTGAATGAAAATGCAAATTCACTCTCTGACAGTAGGTAGCGCCTATGGGACAGCAGTGATTTCTTTGGGTACCGCTGTAAACGAAGCAGCGCTGTGCTTATAAACACTACTTTATACTGAGATAAGAGAAAAGAAAATGCCATCAAAACTTTTCTGAAGACTGTCAGTTCCCTTCAGAGATGCATTCATATAAACCCCCAATTCAATATTGACATTTTTCTACCTGTTTTTCGAGCATCGCTATATTTTTCTTACTATATTTCAAGCATACGTTGTAATATTTCCACACAAATTACATTTTGGGAAATAATTGCAATGCAGTTTGTGTGCAAGTCTGGGCCAAAACAAAACTAAAAACCTACTGGTTCTATTTTTGGCTGGTCGACTGGTGCATCTTTAGTTTTTTAAGTATTAGTCATTCATTTTATTTTATGTAATTCCATTTCTAATAGGTTTTGTAATTCTATTCCTGTAAGAGTGAGCTCAAATTTGCAATGGTGTCCTCTGAGATGCCCATGCAGCTGTTGCTCTTGTCAGAATGACTAGGGTTTTCATTGAAGTTGACTAGTTCTCTGGTGTTTTGTGTTCGGCCTGGGCAGTGTGTTCACTGGTGCAGGTGTGGTTGAGGGGTTTCAGGGCACTCTGCTCAGTGTGATATTATTGCAGCAGTATATTTCACATTTGAGCAATAACCACACTCGTTACCATGGCCACCACATCTCACAAGTCCTGCATGATCACAGTGAACAGCAAAGTGAAGAATCACTGGGTGAAACAGCAGCGAGGTCAGCGAGATTGTGATTGCGAATGTGATTCCAATCAAACGCTCATCTTTTATTGACACAATGCGGAGTACTGCTTACAAATCCAAACATGAAATATAATGTGGGAAACTGAAGGCTGATCACGTCTATTTATGAAGTTTTATTATGTGTACATATAATGGAAAGCAAGCTATACTGTAGGCATACAGTCCAAAAGTGCCTGTCGTGCACTAGACCACTAGTGAAAATGCAATTTGTTTTAAATTTCAGTTCAGTTTTTATCATTACAAATAATGAACTAAAAGAATGTCTTTTTGTCCCAATGTATTGAGAAGATCAAAAAAGTATCTTGGGGTGTGTTCACACTTATAGTTTGGTTCTTTTGGTTTGAACCAAAAGTCCAGGACTGTAATATAAAGTGCTACCAACATTTTAGTCCTGGTTCGCTTAGCATTTACACTGTCATTTGTTAACAGCAAACCTAAAGATGCTAAATGAAAAAAAACTGCTTTTATGATGTGTGTTTTCCGACAGATCTTGCCAAACATCCAAAACAATGCTGTGTTCTGGGCTAAATGCACTTGTATGTGCGTAGCCTACATATGATGGTATTTTGACGTGCTGAGAACTCATGAAGAGCTTATAAAATGTGTAAAGGACTCAAAACACACAAATGAAAGTGGCAGTTCTAATGCCTATACCGAACTGTAATGGGCAACATAACCCCTATGATGAGAAAAAACATGCATCCTTGAGCATTCTGCCCTTTTTAGGATCGCAGCGACATCATCATGTCCTATTTTGGTTTCGTTTAGATGTCTTTGGTCTGTGCTGTGTTCATATTTCAGTCGAATCGCACCAGAGTTCCCCTTTTCAGGGGTCTCTGTTGGCTTGCTTGGGGCGCACCAGGGTTCGGATGGCAGGGTTCACTTATTCAAATGAACCGCTCTAGAGCAATCGCACCAGAGTTCGTTTTAATCGAACCAAACCTGCCAAGTGTGAACACACCCTTAAGCTTCAATGGAAGCAAGAACACCTGACCATGTGTACAAATGATCAATATCACTAATTTATTTGTTTCTATATCTCTAATCTCATGCATTTACATGGGTTAGTACCTAGTTATTACCCAGTTATTGTAATTACTATAATAGCATAATGTTTATTACCAGTTTTTAAATTCGATGTGAATCGGAGAGCATAGATATCATATAATAAAGGCTAGATGTCTCGTCTGCGCTGCTGGCCAATGGAGGTCGACATCCGCACGTGGCGGCCATCTTGTCACAGGCAGCTCACTCACTCGTAACATTGTGTTTTAATGGTGCATGTACTTTTAAATAACCATAACTTGCTCAATTTTCTACCGATTTTCAAACGGTTTGGTTTGTTATAAACGTCAGAGATGTAGTTATGACACTGCATACATATGAATATTAATTATAACATATATGTTCAAGCATTCAGAATTATAGCCACGTTAATAACTTTTGTAAGAAACCAAACCGTTTGTAAATCCGTCAAGATTTCAGCGAGATAAGAGGATTTGTGTTCATGCTGATCACTTACCTTACATCAGGGCCTGCCTGTGACAAGATGGCCGAACGGTGATGCCGGAAGTGACTCCGCCGTAAGACATTTAGCCTTTATTATATGATATCTATGTCGGAGAGATTGTGTATATGGAGTGTTTTGACTCTGTAGCAGAGCTCAAAAGTGTTATATCATTCTAGCCACAGGCCCTGCTCTCCTAAACCCACTGCAACCACAGCACCAGAACCCCAGGGCTGAATGTCTTGCTGCCTTATACGCATTTATCAACCCACATAAAATCTTTCACTCAACTCACACATACACAGTTCCTGAGGGAAGGAAAGTGAAGATTTAAATGTTTGGTCGTGGTGTGTGCAAATCTGGATGTGCATGCTCTCTAAAAGGACAAAGTGAACACACTGAGAAATGTAGAAACATTGGCCATGTATTTTTTAAATTTATAAACAATTACCTTGCACATCTGTGGATAATTGATAGGTGCATAGGACATAGTCTATTGCCAAAACTCAATTTGGAAAAAAAAATCCAGCACACTATCCCAACATTTACATTTAGGGAATTGTTCATCCAAAAAGTAATATTGTCGTCATTTACTTACTCTCAAGTCAACTTAAACTAGGGGTGTAACAATAGTCATGTGACGATTCAGTTCGGTACCAGATAATGATGTCATAATACAATACTCTCACCATACTTTAAACAAAGCCAAAAAAAAGTTTAAATGGGACATTTTGGCAGTTGTAACGAGTGGTTATTTCAGTTACTGTTCCATCAGCTGGAACCAGTCTGGCCATTCTCCTCTGATCTCTGGCATCCACAAGATATTTTCACCTACAGAACTGCCGCTCACTGGATATTTTCTCTTTTTCTGACCATTCTCAGTAAACCCTAGAGATTGATGTGCGTGAATATCCCATTAGATTTCTGAAATAGCCTGTCTGGCACCAATAACCATTCTACATTTCAAAGTCACTTAAATCACATTTCTTCCCCATTCTGATGCTCAGTTTGAGATCATCTTGACCACGTCTACATGTCTTAATGCATTGAGTTGCTGACGTGTGATTGGCTGATTAGATATTTGCGTTAAAGAGCAGTTGAACAGGTGTACCTAATAAGGTGGCTTGTTGCTATCCACAATACATATTGTTGCATTTATGTATTGCGATATATTGTTACATCCCTATTTCAATCCGTTTTACTTTCTTTTATAGAACGTACTCCCAAGTGGATACATTTTAAGACGCCGTTTTGCGTTGTAGTTTGAACTGTGAAAACAAAGGTATTCGAAAACGATCATGCATTTTTAGTCATGTGACTAATCGTACTGCAATTGCTTTACTGCGAAAATTACTGAATTTACTCGCAATTGCTGTCCTACAGCAAAACATGAGCAGTTTTACACCAAACATATAATGGTGAGTGAGTGCGACCTGGACGCATCAATGTATGGTGAGATATTTTGCTAAATAAAATGATCCTGCTAGAAGAATAGCATGCACAATACGGTTAATTTGGCGTTTTCCGATGTTTCAGTGTGGATGTGAAACTTTTGGAAAACGCTAGTGTGGACGGAGAGCGTTTTGAAACGAAAACGCCATTTTCAAATGCATCTGGTTTAATGTAGACGTAGCCTTAGCTGCTCTTTTCCATTCAGTGACAGACAGGGTTTGTTGAGCTTCAAAAATGAAGCATTATACCTTC